TTTTTTTTTTTTTTTTTTTTTGTATCAGGGATTGAACTTGAGACCTTGTGCTTGCAAGGCAGGTGGTGGCACCACTGAGCTAAATCCCCGGTCCTAGATATCTTTTTATTTCCTATAACTTAATACGATATTCATTAAATATTTGTTAAATGCATAGGTTTAGAATATGGTCTTATTTGTGTTGCACCAATTTCTGAAATAGCATAGGTAAGATTAAAGGTCTATGTTAAATAATGCAAATAACAAATAACAATAATATTCATCCAGCATATATGAAGAGCTAAGATTATGATAAACCTTAAATATTCAGCATCTTATTTGATTCAAAAGACCCATCATAATCCATTGAAAAAGCCTTAGTATGGTAATTTTTACAGAAGAAGAAATAAGTTTAGAGAGGTTCCTATTTTCTCCTACTTGTATAACCACTGAATAATGTGGCCAGGGCTTCAACCCAGGTCTGTCTGAATCTAAATTCTGTCTTCTTAACCAGGATGAATACTAAGATGAAAATGACATCTTATCATAATACTCTCTCCTGTTTCGTGAAATTGTTTTATTCAAAAGACAATGGAAGTATTTCATTTCTGTGAGGGAAAAAAATGTAATCTAAGATCTTCCTACGAACTTTGTGGATGACCCTCAAGAAGCTACTTACTCTCTGGGTATTAGAAGGTCAACTAAATGGAAACTTTGTTCAAGCATGCAAATTATACTGAGGAGTGAGTGCCCTTTATCTGATTCTCAGTGTCCCAGAAATCAAAGACAAATAATAAGAACGATTAAACTCGATCATCTCTAAAGTCCCTTCTACCTTGCAAGTCTGAAATTCTGTATTTTCAATTTATAAGTCATAAGCAACTAACATCACTTCCTATTGACTTCTGCTGAAGGCATCAAGCGTGCCCTAGGCTGTTTCCTTTTCAAATACCTGCCCTTTCAAGCTCCAGTGCAATCCTCAACATGTAACAGAATCTCGGGTGTTTTGAACAGTAATTGTATCACTCTGACAAACCACTGGCATCTGCGTGAAACAGAAGACTAGTTTTGAAGTAGTTAAGAAACCACATTCTCTTCAGGGTAGAAGTTTCCTATGAGAACTTAAAGCACTGGACAGAGCTAAAAGCTAAAATGAAACATCTACGTAAGGTATGGTTCTTGTGAAAGGCTAAGTGCTTATTTCTTTATAAGATAAAACCAATCCTTTCTGGGTTTATGGCGAATGTTTCTTTCTTTGGCTATCTCTCTTTAGTCGAACTGTCTTCCCCTAGAACTGGCAAGTACTGGAGTATGAGGAATGCAATTAAATTAATTCACATCCTGCCTTATGCCACTCATAAAAAAACAGTTGTATTCCTATCCAGTTGTTTCCCTATCCATCCTTAGGGCCTGATCCCCATGGTAAGAATTTCTTGATACAGCACCTTGTCATTCCTATTCTGAAAGAAAGCACTGTGTGCTGTAAACTAATTCAAATAAGTGACAGGAACCTTTTTACAGAGCAGCTGTCAAAGTTTTCACTGCTGAACCTGAAAGCATTACCTTACTATGCAGGAAGAGAAAAAAAGACATTTAATTCATTGCCTCCACCTAAATATTGACATCACCCATGTACAGTGGGTAGATGTCACGGCCAGATTCACTTGGCTCCCAACATGGGACAATGAATTAAGTCTTGACTTTCCCTGAACTGGGAAGTTATCATCCTTGACAGCTCAGCAAGCAAAGAATGTTTCTTGACATCATTCCTGAAATGAATCACGAGCACTAGAAGGCCCATCCTTCTAACATGTCGTGCTGTGGGAAGGTTGCTTACTGCGGAATTGGCATTAGTGCTCGAAGGATGTTGGAATGAAAGCTGATACTCACCCTCCCATAAATCTTCACAGCAATATTGCTATTTAAAAGGCCTCTTTTCTTTTTTTAACCTTGTTAGTTGTTGGGCCTCAAAATTCTCTTTCTGTAGACAAAAGATGCACTTTCAACTCCTAAGGGTAAGGACACACCATCTACACTTCAGTACAGATACACACACACACACACACATAAACACACACGTGCACATGTGTGCAATCTTTAAATCTTCAGAACAGGAATAGAGGGGGGCTTTCGTGATTTTTTACAACACATCTTTACTGGGGAAATTAAAGAGGTTCCCTCCTTCAGAAGGAATTAAATGAGTAGGATTTTCTGAACCAAGGCAGACTCACCCGTTGTTCTCATTATATGCTGTGGCAGGGCTTGAGATTGGTCTCCTCCGTGCTTAAGACTCCTTAGTTTTTCAGCACTTTTTGGACAATATTTTGTAACTGAACCTATATCATTACAAGCTGCCTTTTTCCCAGGAGGCTCTGAGCACACTGACTCCAGCAATCTACGATCCAGGCAGGAGAGAGCACTGTCTACCTCATGGTCTTTTCCTTTCAGGGTTCTAAATGATGCATCTGGGGCTGTGGACTCAGAGGCCAGTGTTGCTTGATGGCTGTTTTCTTGTAAAAGTGGCATTTCCTTTCCGGCGCCCCCAGTGGACATGACCTTTATCTCGTTTTCCTGAGTTAAGTGGCAGTTACAGTATCCTTTAGTGTGGTAATTCCTTGCCTCATGAGCACACAGGGATTCATCGAAGGTTCTGCAACAAAGGTTTTCTGATGTGTGTTCATTTGCTTTGCCTTGTCCGAGTTTCCAGTTAAATACAACTAACCCTAGGCAAGTGAGACCAACAGCTCCTGTGACCAACAGAGAAACCATTAAACGATAAATAACATCAGAGGAAAAGACATATAAATCACCAAAGTGAAACCCACAAATATGCAGGTTCATGGCTTAAAGGGCATCAAATGGATGGGAAGTCTGTCACAATTTGGAAAAGTAGTAGAAGCCACACAATGGTCATTTTAATTAACATTATTCTGCTTTCCAATATCTATGTATCTATCTATCCATCCATCCATCTATCTATCATCTAACAACACCATCTGGAATCTCTTTAGTAGAAAAAAAGAGCTTTTCATAGACTGAAATTCATTCAAGAACAAATAATTACTGCATTAAAATTATTTTTCTGTCTATGGAAAACCAGTTTAATGCCAAACTTCCTATTTCTTAATGTCATAGTTAATACAAAAGCGAAAATCTCATGTACTCTTACCTTCTCCCCCTAAAATACCAATTGACCCTACATGCTATTTGCCATATTTTAATCATCCCCTGAAGATTACTATTACCCCAGCTTATTGGCTTCCCCTTATTAAAAAAGACCAAATCTTTAGCATTCAAGATTCAATACAATGTTGATATTAGTGCCTTACCTAGCTTTATTTTTTACTATTCCCTGCATTCAAACACTATATTTCAACCTATTTAATTCATTATTAGTCTTAAAATATATTTCTTAGCTCTTGTGGATACTCTTAGTAATGCTTGAAATACCTTCTCCTGACTCTGTGTATTTAAATTTTATTCTCTAAAATTTCAATCAGCACCTCCAAAATTCCTTGATGCATTTGTTGTTTTTTCCCTTCTGAAAAGATCTTGTGAGCTGCCATGAGAAGATGGACAGCATCTAATCTCAAACAGCCTGATGCTGTCATTTCAAGTGCTACATAAGCATAGTTGTCTTCTGAGTAAGATTGTGAAGGACAGTCTTTCTCAAGACCAGCTGCAGATTCTCCTCTTCTCCTGCCTTACTCTTTCCCACCTAGAAGTTCAGGCCAAACTGTGCAAGTCATATCTCCTTTGCTTATCACAGTGATTTTTGTTTTTTAGCATTTATAGTGAGATAATGTTGTGTTCATTCATTAATTTGCTAGTTCACCGTCTGCCCTCCCTGCTAGAATTAAGCACCATCAGGAAATAGACTTTTCCAGTCTGGTTCAACGTTCTATTCCCTGTGCCCCCAACTCTTTCACAAAGAAGGTGCTCTGGAAATGTTTATCAATTATTCTTAAAGAATAGAAGGAATTATGCTTACAAATTCTGACAGTGAAAAACAGGCACTGTAATTTTAGAAGTCCCCAGCATTGTGATTATGAAGACATAAAGTCAGTACAGATTGAATAAGGAGCTCTGAGTTTGAAGCCCAGGTCTGCATACACTCCAGGTGAGACTCTGGACAAGCTGATTCCCTCCTCTGGAAGTAAGAACAGTGGAAGAGAGGATCCCAGCATTCTAGGAACATCTATCAGGTGAAGCATGTCTGTTTCTCTCCCCTGGTGATGATATTCATGAAAATATGATATGCTGAATTTGAACGAAAAGGGAAGGTGTCGGGCATGATTGTTCAGTTTTTCAGTTAAAGGTAAAGTTGAAGAGAATAGAAGTTTCTAGTAAAATATTCCAAACATTTTTTTTAGAATACCAGAGCTTGAGATATCATAAACTCAATGTATTTGACAGCGCCCTCTGAGAAAGTAATATAACATACTCAAATAGTTTAATCTCTGTTAATAGCACAATATTTTTTAAAGTTGTAGCAAAAATTAAATCATGCCACTTTATTGTCAAATCCTAGTGTATGGGTCATTCCAAACAAAGATTTGGGTTTGTTTTTTGTTGTTGTTTTTTCAGGAGAAGGCAGAAAATGGTGATGGGAATATATCCCACTCAGCTCTTTTTTATTCTTACTATAATTATTAGCATATGTTAATTGTAATAATGAACGACTTTCCTGATGACATCTGCATACAATGTGCTTTAATCCTCTCCACCCTCCCTAGTAGGGTCTTGTATGAGAATAATAAATTCTGAACATTCCCTATCTCTTACATGAAATTAAAAAATTCAGGAGTCACAGTCCTATTCTGAGTTTCTTATTGGGTGTTTTTAATATCTCTGATCCTTATTTTTCCTCTTCTCTCAAGAGGTGATAATACTGCCCAGAGATTAAGTGAGATAATATGTGTGATTTGTTGAACACAATGCTTTTTTATACACAGTAAAATTCAACGAAAGGCCATTGGGGTGACTATGATTACTGTTTGGGTTAGTTTTCTGTCACTGTGACAAAATCCTTGAGAAAATCAATATACAAGAAGAAAAGGTTTATTTAAGCTTATGATTTCAGAGGTTTCCATCCACAGTCAATTGGTTCCATTATTTGGGGGACATTAAAGATGCAAATCATAACCCTTTAGCTGATGCGATCACTTAGGTCTTGTATGGCTGGAATTACATCTTGGGAAACTCAACTATTAGAGAGAGAATCTCAAAAACAAATCATGAAGACTATTTTTATAACTAATGAATTACTAAAGAAAATAATACAGGAAAGAAAGAGCTATGTGTTCTTAAAGCAACCCACGAACTGGTGATATGAATAAGCATTGCCTAATGAGGGGATGGTTTCTCCTCTGATTGTGTCCCAGCGGTAAGGACTCGTGCAGCCTCCTGCTATCCATGCTGGATGTGAAGCTGCACCTCATATGCTCAGGGTGGTCCCTGGCTGTGAAAGTGGAGTTCAAAAGCAGCACATGGAGCAGGACACACTCTTAGGGGGTTTAAACTTCCACTGCTATGGGCAATGTTTCCATTTTTTAAAAGTGTTCTAATACTTACTAATCTTTCTGAGTTGGCCAAAAAAAGGGCAAAATGAGTGATAACTTCTCACAGAAGCACTGAAAACTTTTTATCCACTAGGTCACGGAGTAAGAAATGTCAAGATTTTAGTGTTTGGTGTGAATATCTACTGATTTGTTTTAAATACTATAATTTGATTATTAATATTCCTTTTAAATGTGATAGCTTAGTTATGGCTGAATAGCCAAGTGTAATCTTAGGCAAAATTATAGTTCTTTTTCCTGTAATCTAGAGGTACACATAATTCTCCATACTTATTCATAAGGAAGTGAATCTTAAGGAACAAGATCAGAGTCTTTTTAAAAAAGAATGTCCTTTAAAACAGTATATCTAATAATTAGCCAATGAAAAATAATTGGTATGATAATTTTATACACAAACACTCAACATACCTATAATTATATTTATAATTTATCAGAAATTTTCCATGTATGTTAAGCTTTCCGAAACCTTTGGAATCTTCCAGAATTTGTATTCATCTCTAAAGTAATGAAAACTATTACCTTAGAAAAATATACTTCTAAATATATATTTCTAAAAGTGTAAAAGAAACTAAAAATTATCCTATTATAGTATTTCCAACACAGTGTCCCGAGGAACACTAATTCAATGAAATCCTCTATGAACAAAAGGATCATGATCAAATAAGTTTGAGAAATGCTCCAAAATATATCTTCTTAATGATTCATAATATGTACTCATTAGAATATGAAAGCCTAGACCTAGAGCTGTAGACAATAAGCCTGTTTTATGTTGTTTAATCTACTATTCCCCAAACCTGCCTGATGGCCATCGTCCATCATTGCAGTATCTGTGTGGCTCTCTGTGTGTTTTTATTAGAATATCTGTGCATTATCCCCTAGAGCTAGTATTCTGAGAAGCACATTTCAGGAAAAACTGCGGTTCTATCACTTCTATCATTTATAGTAAATTATTTCTTAGCACATATAATTACTAACATGGCTAATGGCTTTTAAAACAATTTATCTTACTGAGATAAATTGAAATTCTCTTTCAAGTTAGTCTGACTACTGCTAGTGGTAGTTCCCTTGTTTAGAACAGATGGTGGTCTCTATCTATCCTGATTAAAAGTATGACTGTCAGGAGTCAAAAACCTGATGTTCATGTAATTCACCAGTAGCTTGTTATTGGGTAATTTAACTAATTCGCCAGTAACTTGTTATTGAGTAATGATTTATACCATATATTCAAAATGCATCACTTTAGTTCTGGATGCGATTTGTGGGTATCTGACCTTCCAGATTTGGAGTAACACACATACACACAAACACACACACACAGAACATCATCATCGTCATCTTCGTTATCGTTGTCACAGGTGGGTTTCATCATGCACTAAGAGCTACATAACTCAAGAATTCCTATGCATATTTGGCCTTCAGTTAATGGCATCACTTGATATATTTCACTTAGTGAGATTCAATGATACCCAAAGCATAGTTTCTGAGTTATTATTAAAAATATTTAAGGATTGAATATTATCCTCCCCTCAGGTGGTCTGTGGGACTTGGTTTTGAAAAGGTTAAATAAGAAGAATTAGAAGCCCTCAAACAGGAGAAAACCTAAGGCACACAAAAATTAAATAACTCGCAGCAGGTTAGACAGCTTGCAAGAGCAGAGCCAGAATTCAAACTAGGACAGTTCAACTCCACAGCTCAAGCACTTTGCTACTGAGCTAATCAACCATGGTAGATTGATTATCATAGCAGCATCTTCTTGTGGACTTCACAACTCACTTTCTGTTACTGTTCCATGGAAAGGCACACAAGTGTGAATGCCTCAATGAAAGAATCTCTGTCTGATCAGTTTTTAATATTTAGATCCTACAGTCACAATAAATGCCGCAGTTCTGTTTGATAAATGGATGGTTGATCAAATGTAGAGATCATCTCTTCATTACCAACCAGAAAACTGTTGTCAAAATAACAAGTTAGCTGACTCAAGATTATAATGTCAGTGATATTAGGACTGGAGCTCTTGAATTCCAGGCCCATTCCATTGTGTTAGGCAGCTTCCCTAAAACAGAACCCCTTGTGATTTGTGCCAACGGAGCAAACATCCTCCTTCATGAACTTTCAACCATACTTCTCCGAGCCATACTTTCAAATCCTTCTGGTTTCCTGAGGAAAGCATCATTCAGTGGGCGCACATGGACACAACAAGGGAGAAGAGGAAGGCAAACTTCCCCCTAACATACCTGCAAAGCCAAGCATGGTCAGCAGGGCCACATCCTGCCCTGGGAGGAGGGGACGTCTGTCCTTTAGAACCAGAGTGAGGTTGGAGGCCTTCGAATCACAGTTGGCCTCAGATAGCGTCAGCACACTTTTTGTGGTCCCAGACAGAGTAGATGGCTGGCAGGTTATGTCCATGGTGTTTCGCAGTGTGTGAGCAGAAGACTTGATGTAGTTTCTTAAAAAGTGGGCCAAGGGATGCAGATCACAAGTGCAGCTCCATTGGTTCTTATCTAAGCTCAGAAGGTTTAACTGCTTCAGTGGAGTGAAAACATCCGGCATGTGGGCCAACCTATTTCGAGAAAGGTCCACTTCCTGTAGTTGAGGCAGGGGCCGGAAAGCATCTTTCTCAATGTAGGATATGAAATTGTTAGATAAATCCAGATGCCTGAGGTGGTGGAGATTCGTGCCTGCGAAAGAACTGTCTGTGAGATTAGTAATTTGATTGCCATCCAACTGGAGCCGGGTCAGGGCCCCGGTGTTTCGGAACCAGGCTCCTCGCAAGGTTTGCAGAGCGTTGCTGCTGAGCACCAGCAGCTGCAGGTGGCGGAGCTTGCTGAAGGTGTGATCAGGCAGAGAAGAGCTGGATATGTGGTTGTGGCCCAGCAGCAATGTGTGCAACCTAGTCAGGCCATACAGGGTATCTTCCTCAACCTCTTTGATACCGTTTCTGCTCAGGGAGAGCAAGGCAAGGTTAAACAGGAGAGACAGATTTGTGCTGTCTACAGAGGAGAGGTGTCCATCGGTGATGATTAAAACCCTTGTGGTCACAGGTGCTGCTGTGGGGGAGAAAAGCACAGGCTAGAAGTGGACACACAGTTGCTGGAGGGAGCGTGCTGGAGAATGGAGGGAATGAAACCCCCAAAGTGTATCTCACCCCCTGGCTGAGAAAGATAAACCCAATGAAAATGATTCTCTGATTTCTAAATTTCAGGGGAAGCTGCTAGCTGTTGCAACAATGAATTATTATATTCTTTGTTATTGTGACATACTCGTTTGAGAAACGTAAACCCATCTGTCCCTTTAGATGGCAAAGTTAGTTCGTTTTGTGGGGTTCTCCTCCTCCATGTTCTTTCCAACACTGCGGAGGCTTCCTCCCTCCGAGGGTGTGTTGTGTACTGCCCTGGCCCCACTCTGCTGTCCCCATTCAGATTCATGAGGAACAGAGCTGTGGTCTGAGCTTCCTCACCAGATTTCCACTGGCAATGTATATTTATGCCGTTAAGGCAATCATCTTGCCTCTCCAATGCGAAGGAGCGGGTGGGTGACAAGGAGTATTGGTTTCTGCTTTTTAGCTCCAGGCTAAAAGTTGGCAACTCAGTAAGGATCTCTCCAGACAACCGGAGGGGCTGTCAGTGGGGTTCTCATTATAGTCTGGGCCATCTTGGCCTCCTGTCTTATATCTGTTCCTTCCAATGAAGCCCGTCACGTGATGACAGGTGGTACTTAGGGCTTCCGCTGTTAAATCCCTTCACCATAATCACCTCAGAGCTATCCCTGCTCTGTCATTAGAAATCAAAACGTTTTAACTCGATAAAGATGTATTATAATCAGGAGTTATTGTAACACGTCTTTATCACGCTAAAATTGTTTTGACTGCAAATGACAGTGTCATAAGGATGGAGGAGTCCATTGTCCTTGGGAGGTCTACAGGTGATATTGGAACAGTCAACCGTGGGAGAGACAACTCACTATTCCCTTAGGAAATTCAGACTGCATAGCTGAGACAAAGAGCCTTAAAAAAAATGCAGAACACAAAGGAGTCTCAGAGGCCTTCTTTTGGAAAAATTACTTCTATCCCTGCAGCACAAGCGAGCTTAAATCAGGGTTGCTTTGTTTTGGATTTTGCCTTTTTTCTTAGCATTTGTTATTGATCATTTGAATTTTATTCACTCTGGCTAGTTTGGCCTTTTGTTCCTCTCATCATCATTTTTGATATGAGATGGGTTTTGTTTTTATGGGTCCCCAGTCCTTTAGGGATTTGTCATCTCTGAATGAGCTGGCTATTATTTCTGTCAGTTAGTTCTTGTCTAAAACTAGCAGAAATTCTATTCACAAGTCATCCATTTACTCCTCTGTGTTTATGAAATATAACTTTGGACATGGCATTCTGTGAACGAGAAGTTTATAAAGGTACAATGATGTAGTTAAGAAATACTTTTTCCTTATAGATAGCAGTTCTCTCTGATCACACATGCCCACAAAATTTAGTGAAGTCAGGAAATCCATGTTAGAGGACAGGAGTTTAGAGTTAAAATATTCTCAATAGAATGGGGAATAATATATACACCAACTAGCCTTGAAACCTTTTTCCTGTCAGGGATGATGATATCTACCCCCTAATTCTCATAGAGTCTTGGGATTTTAGAAATGAAAAAAATTATCTTCTCCTCCTTTATCTTAACTCAGTTTTGTTTCTGAAAATTTTCCATTGGCAGAGCTTATAGCTTGTTTATCTCTTTGTGAATATCAGGATGTAAATCACATTCTCCTCAAATTTGTTAATAAGGTGTCTTATTAAATTGTTGACTTAAGCAAGCAATATGTAATGAATACAGGCAGTGTATCTTGTTAGCATTTCTACAGCTCATTTACCACCAATAAAAAAAGACCAGACCTTCAAAATGAGTTGCAGTTTGATAATAATCTATTTCACTGGTACATCACTTAATCTTACTAATGCTGAACAATTGTTGTTCAGGTTTCTGATTCATTTGTATTTCTTTCAGCTAGTACGGTTCAAAGCTGTGCAAAGTATGCACAAAAATAGAGTGAATCTGTTTTGTTCTTCTTAAAAATTATGTTCCTGCAGGAAATGGTCGTATTTTGGGCAATAAATGTACCTCAATTACCTCGGAAGTTCTAAAACTCATTTTGGTCTAGTCCACCAGGAACAGAAAAGCAAAATAATGTTGGCAGTCTCCCCAGTAGGTGTACAAGGCCTGCTCTTTAAAAGGTTACCTCTTCAGGCTGAGCCCAAAGAGCAGCAGTCTGCACAATGAAAAGCATAGCAGTGAATTTGCCAGCTACATTGAACAGTGAGTTTTAGGCTTATGAGTTTTATTACCTAAGACGTAGGTTAGCTGATGACAGAGGGTTACGTCTTTGGTGCACACCACACAAGACGGAGGGCAAGCTGCCACCAGCCGCAGCACGATGGCACAGAGGATGAGCCATCCACCTGAAAAGAAAGGCGAGGGCAGCGCACATCATAACACTGGCATTTATTATTCATGGCTTCTGTGTATGCAGCTCCTGAGGCATTTTGATGATTTCTGCTTTTAATGAGCATGTTGGCGTTCTCACAAGATGCCAGGTAAATGGCTAACATCCTTACTTTGCACAGAGTTTGACATGAAATGTTAAAGCATATGATCAAAAACTCGGTGAGTTCACATCCAAGGCATAGCCATTGGTGCAAATTACTACGCAAATTAAGTTACTTTGTAAAACACTTTACAGTTTATATTGTTTTCCAACAAACATCAGCTTATTTAGTTCTCTAAATTCTGCTATCCAGTTTGAGGTCAAGGAAACTGAAGCTTGGAATGGTTAATAAAGCAGCCAAGTCGCATAGCTAGTAGGAGTTTAACTGAGCCTTTCATTTTGCATCCTATATTTTTTCTAGAATGCAAAAGCTAATCTTAGGCCGTGAATTTCACATAATTGCAACTGAATTATTTTATTCCTAAAAGATTTAGCTGCCACACTTGGGGGGAGAGTATGAAGGAAGATTAAAATCACAGGTTCTACCTAGCTTTAAATTTAGCTCTGTCATTTACTGATTATAATATCTTCAGAAAATATTTTATTTTTCTTATTTTCTGCTTTTTCATGTGTGAAATAGAAATAATAATAAGTTCTTACAGGACAGAGCACTGTGAGAGTTAAATGTCCAGTAAATATTAAATTTTACCATTATTTTATGCTTTTTCATTCCCACAATGAAATGGTAATACCATTTATATTTTAGTTCAAAAATGACCATTCCTTTACAATGTATTCCTTGGCTGATTTTAAAATGTATGGGGCAGATTATAACAAAGACTTCTTTCCATACAGTGTGATAGTTTGCAAACAAAGTGTAAAGAAAACATAATATTGATAATTCCTTCATTGGTTCAACAAGTATTTTTACACAAGCACAGGTACCTCCTGTATGCAAGGCACTGCCCATGGCATGGAGGATAGAGCTGTGTCGAGCCCCTGCCTGCTCAGGCATACCTTCTATGAATGGATATAAGCAACAAACAAAACAACAATAAGTATTAAAACATTAAGTGACACATGACACAATGTATAAATAAAACAAAAAAAAAAGGAGATAACATTAGTGTGGAAGAAACACTCCGATAAAATATCACTTAAACATAGACCTGCAGAAAGGAAAGCTGCTTAGGAGTCCTGGAGGGGAGCGCAACAAGTGTAGAGTCTCGAGCATGCGCTAGGCTTGGTGCCAGGAGGTTGGTGTGGCCACACTGGAGGGACCACGAGGAATCGTGGTCAGAGAGAAAGAGAGGCAGAGGAACGTTCACGTTCAAGATGAATGCAAGGTCTTCGGTTCTTTATCCAAATAAGATGAGAAGTGACTGTGGGCTTTGTGAGTGGCATTGCTTGATCTGAGGACTTGACATGCTTAAATGATCCTGATGACTGCCGTGCTAGGAGCACACTTCTAAAGAAACAAGTGGAAAAACATAGAAGGCAATTGTAGTAATACAAGTAAAAGACTATGTGGGTCAAGCAAGGATGAGAGGTAGGCAGATTCTGGATGAATTTTACTATGCTTATGCAATTTATTTTGCCAAATCTAAGGTCAGATAAACAATCTGGGTGAACAAAAGTAAATAACCAATGCTTATCCTTCAAGTGCTTTTTAGTTAGTGACATAGTTATATAAATACCTCATTATAATACAAGGAAGAATGAAATCAATCTAACTAAAGATGAAAAATTATTTTGTGGACTCAAGGAAGACATGGCTAGGGAATTGGACCTAGCAGAGGACAGTGGATTTCTCTAGGCTGTGAATAATTTTTAGGTAAATCAATCTGAGAAAATAGTAAGAAAAACACGGGCAGCAAAGCCAGCCTCCATTTACTCCCTTTAATCATACCTGAGCTACTTGGAATCTGCCCCACACATGTGAACAAGTGCTGATCAAACAAGGGAGAGAGAGAGAGAGAGAGAGAGAGAGAGAGAGAGAGAGAGTGTGTGTGTGTGTGTGTGTGTGTGTGTGTGCGTGGGGGGGGGCGTGTAAGTTAAAAAAATCATTACAGTAAAAGACACATCACTGTTAACCCCCTCAAAATACTCTCCCTTGCTTCAGACACAGTTATGCCACCATTCTTGTCACTTTCTGGAGCAGCTCTGGAATTCTTTCCTGAGCATCTTCTCAAGGTATGATCATAAAGTATGGTGAATGCTGCTGTTGTGTGCCACTGAAGGGAAAGGCAGGCTTGCAAAAGCATTATGGCGTGTCCTCATCTACTGTGTTCTCTGGATCTGGCACATTGCAAATTGTGTCTCTTCTCCAAAGTCAAAATGGTCATGGAAGGTAAACATGTTGAATGAATTTAGAAAACTGAGTTGGCCATAACTGCATACCTAAGGACACACATTAAAGAGGACTTCCAGTTCAGGGGGAGGGCCAGAGATTTAGGCAGAGCTATTCTCAGATTCTAGGCCTTCTTTCTCCAGCTCTTTCTGACTTTCTAGTGCCTATATGTGAATAGTAGGACTCTAAGATGGCTCCTAAGATTCTCATCCCCTGGAGTTTATGCACATGTCATTACCTCCCCTTGTTAGCAAACTGTGGAGTTCATGAGCTATTACTCCCATGATTATGCTTCATCATAGGGCAAGTGAAGGTTGTCCTGCTTCAGACTGACCCAGTTAGGTGTTGAGAAAATGGTAACCTCAAAGCCAACTACTAAGTGTTCCAGATTGCTTACTTAACACTGGGCCAAGTGAGAGGAGCGTTGAAATTTAGCAATGGATTTAGCAATGGGGATTAACAAGAACAATTTCAGTGTGAATAATCTGCAATAATACAGAAGATCCTAATAAGATTATTGACATTGAGAAATGGGAAGAAAGGAGCTAAAGGTGTAGGGAAGGTGGGACGGGTAGGGGAAGGGTAATAAGGGAAAAGAAAAAAATGTGAGATAATGAAAAGATGGAAATAAAGTGTTTGTAGATGGGGAGGCGAGGAGGGGGTGAAGGGAGGGCAGGGGTAAGGGGAAAAAATGAGAATCAAGACTTGTCGTGTAGAGGTACAAGATCCCAACAATGAATGTAACTGTACTGTATCCCTAAAATGTACCAATAAACTCAATTAATGCTGAAAAAAAAAAACCAAGAACAATTTCAGCAGGGTACTGTAAGAGAGAGCTTTATTAGGAGGGAGGGAAAATGGGAAGAAGAAAATGAAAACGGAAATCGAGACTGTTCTTTAGAGCCCTTTGTGGGTAGAGGAGAATGGAGAGGGGAGCGTGTTCTGAGGAGGCCCCAAGAAGGAGCTGAGTTCGCTGTTTGTGTTTAAACTGGGGCGGCACATGGGATGTGTGTATGCTAGTAAGGGTTACACAGCAGAGAGGGAGTTCGGCTATGCCAAAGATAAAGGAAGAATTATTGCTGGAACTGGCCTCAGTAGAGACAGGAAGTGCTCATCCATATGAAGAAATGGAAGGCGGATTATGTGCAGTTAGACATGGGTGAGTGGGTAGAAGATGGAGATTTGAGGAGAAATGAATAGGCACACAGTAGCCATCTGGGCTGTGGGATTCTGAGCAGGCTAGAAATATCTAATGTGTTCTCTGGCCAGTAGCAAAGATGTGCTCAAACTTTGTCTGCTTCTGTGTATGCGCCTTTGTGGGAGCTACATTCCCAGACCTTTTCTTTTTTTTTCTTTAAGGCAGGATCTCACAAAGTCACTAATTGCTCAGACTGGGCTTGAACTCATCCTTCTCCTGCCTCAGCCTCCCAGAGTGCTGGAATTACAGGAGTGTGCCATCCTGCCTGCTGAGAGTCAGGATTTTTTTTTATTAGTACATGTTTGTAGTATCTAATGATTATGTTTGTTGTGGGGAGTAGGTGCATATCCATAATGTATCTTAGTTCTTTTTATTTTTCTTGCTCTTTTCCACTTCTCTCTCAATCTCAAGATTCCCTTCCTATTTCTCAAAGATCTATCTCTCTATTTCCTATCATCTATCTTTTCTTTTAATTTTAGATCATTTATGCTTTGGGTTTTTCATACAAGGAGTTTATCCTAATTTAAGCTAGTGTTCTTGATTTATTATACTTAACATTATAGTCTCAAGATGCATCCATTTTTCTGCAGATGACTTAAATTGATCCTTCTTTATGGCAAGCTAACTGTCCATTGTGCCTAAGTTCCTCGTTTTCTTTATCCATTCATCTATCAATAGATGTTTTGGCTGCTTCCAAGCTTCAGCTATTGTAAGCTGTGCTGTTATAAACATGAGTATTCATGGATCACTGGAACATGCTGTCTTTAACTCTTTCTGGAAAATACCCAGAAGGGAAATATCTGGGTCATGATTTTGAAGTAGGACCAGTCAGGAGGAATCTAATCAATATTGGGAGTTTTTCAGTGGTGAATAAAATACAAACAGAGCAAGGAAGTCAAGGCTGTGTAGAAGAGAGTGATGATGGGAAATAATTGCCAATGAAATCTAAGGTGGGTAAGGGAGAAGTAAAAAAATGAGATGACAGTAAAATATTGATGAGATAAGCACAGAATAAAATAGAAAATCATAGACTTGGTAGAGAACATGAGTATCTAGTGTAGGACATATCTGAAAATGTTCACAGTTTCCAGGAAGTTGTAAAATGAAGTACTCATGTGGTCCAATGTAGTTGGAATCTGGATTGTAGTAGTGAGTTAAAAGGAAGGAGACAGAGCCCAGGGTGCTCTGATGAAGACGACGTGGTTGGATACAGAGGGGTCTAAAGGCCTTGGTTGGGACAAGGGCTATGGTGCCACGAGAGCTGAGTGACCATCTGAAGATGGAGGACAAGCTGGTGGAGAAGAGGAGGCCAAGGAACCCAGAGGTCAGGCTGTGGCAATGATTGCACGGATACTGAAACCAGAAAGAAAACTACTCTTAGAGAGTGTCACAGTGAGCCAGATAGTCAAGGCATGGCGGACAGTGGGCTCCATGGTCTAGCTGGAGAGCTGGTGGGTTCAGAGAAGAAGTCATTTGACAACAGTGGAGCTAACAAGGAAGACACGGCCCCTTGCTCACACTCACCACCAACCCTGACCTAGAGGAACAAGGAGTGTGCTGGGGAAACTGCTCCCACTTAAGACGACTCTGGGGAAGCGGCCTCCTCAGGGTGGGGATGGATATTAAGGGAGAAATTGTTCTACTCAGATTCTAAATTGGGTGGTAACTGCCTCTGAATGTTAAATCGGGCTTTCTATCTCCTGGCAGTGAAAATTTCATAATGGCAGTAGTGATTGGTTACATAATCCTTAGGATCTGACAAAGGGAGGCATATAATGTTTTTCAAAAGAGAATAACATTTTCTAAAATTTCAAGAATTTTCCCTGTAGATTCATAATTATTCTTATATCCTTTGCAGTTGGAACAAAGCTTGAAGTATAATCAGAATACAATAAATGTTTAACCAAACTTACCTGACAAGGAGGTTTATAATGGACAGCACCTTTAATAACAGTTTTTAAGATTAAAAGAAAACTTGTCTTAAACCCTAAAATAGCGCGTAGTTGTGAGGTCTCTCTTGATCTTAGCTTTGAATCTGAGATGTCTTTTTGGTAGTGAAGCTAAGGAATTATAAAATTAGCTTTAGCAATTCTTTCCCCACAGACACACGTGGCACTGAGATTATAAGGCCCTGAGATAGTTAATAGCTTTTAATATTTGCTTTTATTCTTTCATTTTGAAGAAGAAAACATGCCATTTAAAAACACGCAAAGCTAATTAAAGCTTTTCCACTATTTCATTATCTGAATGTAGTTGTGCATTCTGACTTAAAACTCTTATCAGAAGAAGACCCAACATCCCTCCATGAAGAGCAAATGAACATTCAATTAACACTTCAATACAAGTGTATTTTTAAATAAAAAAATATAATTTATTGTTAATCTCAGCCTTTTCAAATGCAAACACTCAATTTTAAAACCCATAGACAGCTTCCTACTTTTTATTCTTATGGGAAAATCTCCTCTAA